ACTTATTTCTGGTTTTTACTACCAACAGTTTCCTATAACAGGAAAAGGTGTCATACAAGGAATGTCTATTCCATTGACATTAAGCACACCAATCTTATATATTGTTTCAAACTTAGGTTCAAAGTGTTATTCGAATGTCGACAGAAACTATTATGACCAAAAGATACTTATGCGTATAAACAATACTTTCTCTGCTGGTTTGCCTATTGTTCATTCGAATGCAGAATTTTCAACCTTAGTGAACTCAAACACTTTGGCAAGTATAACGTTGACATTAGTTGACGCAAACTTTGTTCCTGTAAAACTTTTATGTCCTATGTATTTGTCAATGACGGCAGAAAGTTTCGAATTGGAAGATGCAACTGGTGAAAGTATTGTATTACAAGAACAACTTCAACAACAAATAGCTCAAGAACAACAAATGCAACAAATGGAACAAATGGAAAAAATGGAACAAATGGAACAACAAAGTCAAGAATAAAAAAATAATATTTTTTTTTATTTTTATAAAAATGTACAGAATAGATGTTTCAGATTTTTATGACTTCCAAGCATTCAGAAATATGTGTCCATTTCGAGACTATAACAAAGCAGTCGAGAATTTGAAACGTTTAGTCATTTATGTTGACTCTGCCCCAGAATGTTATGTCATGAAAGAATGGGATGTTGTCTTTAACAAACCAAGAGCAACAATAGTGTCTGAACAAGAATGTAGACAGAAACTTAAGAAAATAAAAGTCGTACAAGTTGGCATGAAGATGTTAGATGCTTGGGATATCTTATTGTCAAAGTTAGAAGATTTTTCAGTTCGAGGTATAAAGTTCTATACACCTTCTCCAAACTTCTATTCTATCTTCACTGGATATAAATACGAACAAGTAGAATGGAAAGAAAATATTATAGAAGCTTGGTTAGACCATGTCAAAGAAATTATATGCAATGGAAACGAAAAGGTTTATGAGTATATCTTATGTTGGTTTGCAAACATCTTACAACATCCAAGTGCTAAAAATGAAACTGCTCTCATTATAATTGGAAAACAAGGAACAGGTAAGAATACTTTCTTTACAGATATTTTGTGCAAACTGTTAGAAGGTTATTCGAATCCGAATATGACAAACTTAGAAAACATCTGCGGTAAATTTAACTCCTCAATAGAGAATATGAAACTTATAGTTTGCAATGAACTTCAAAGTATAGATACAACAAAAGTTTTGAACTCAGATGCTTTGAAGAGTCTTATAACAGACAAAGTTGGAGTTGTTGAAAGAAAGTATAAAGACCAAAGAGTTTGTGAAAATGTTGCAAACTTCATTATGGTTTCAAACAATGCTGTTCCGATGAAGTTAGAAAGTTCTGACAGAAGATATGTAGTTGTCAGAACGTCAGATTCTCATATGCAAGATACAGAATATTTTGACGACTTAGCAGAAACTTTGACATCTGACTTTTACAACCACTTGTTCTCATATTTCATGACATTAGATATTTCTAAGTTCAATCCAAGACAAATTCCACATACCGAAGAGAGACAAACATTGTTAGAAGCAAACAAGAGTGTTTATGAACTGTTCGTAGATGAAACTGACTTTGTGTCATTAGATGAAAGGTCTTTATATGATGAATATAAACAATATTGTCAAGAATATGGTTATATGGCAGCTTCTAAACGTACATTCTTGGCAAATGTCAAAAGTCTTTTAGATGTTCAGAATGGTGTATATACAAAGAAAATTTTTTCTGAGTAAATTTTTAAAAAAAATATTTTTTTATCCGATAGAAAAGATGACGAAATATATTTCAGTAAACAAGTACATGTCAGGACTTAAAGAAGAACTAGACCCATTCACATATTTGAATGTTTACTTCTACCATTTTGAAAAGTCTTCATTCAGCAAAGTTTGGAACATCGAACCAGTTAAGTTTGCTATTGTGACTAAAAACGGTGCGAAATTTGAAGACTTAGACATAGAAGGTTTGTTAACAGTCAAAGAAAGTTTTGACAGAAGGTTCTCAAACCTTAAAGAAGGCAAAGCATACAAACTTGTTATACCTTATGAACCAAAGAAGACAGACGATTATGAATATTATGAGTCTAAAGTTGTAGAAGTTCAAGGTAAATTGGGTAAAAAGATTTTAGAGTCTAAGCCAGTGTTTACTCCTAAAGAGGAGAAGAACATTGACATTGACCCAGAAATGTTCTAAAAATAAAATTTTATTTTTACATGTCAAATTTCTTTTTCTCTGGAACTGGTTCAGGTTCTTTCTTCTCTTCTTCTACTTTCTTTTCTTTCTTCTTCTTTTCTGGTGGAGTTATGTCAAATTTCTCAGAACCATATTTATGTAAAAGTTCTTTGTCCTTTAATAGCTCATCTATTCTGTTTTCTATTTCATCTTCAAGAACAGCGCATGTGTCTTCTTTGCATTCTAAGAAGTTTTGTTGGACTTCATCTCTCCAATCGGCGTCATCTCTGTCAACAAGTCTGTCATTGACAAATTTTAAGACTGTCTTTGTAATGTTTTATGGTTCTTGTCATATTCCAGAAACAGAACTTTAGAACAAATTCACCTTTCTTGTTTACACTATGTAAGATTTTATGGTCGACAGATGTTTTGCTGTCAAAAAGCTTGTCTCGAATATAGATGGCGAAATCGCTAGACATTTTCTAAAAGATAAAAATTTTAATTTTTCTAAAAATATGTTAGAAAAAAAGTTTGCTGACATTGACAAAAATTTTGAGAATGTTTTAAGCAAGAACAAGAGGACGTTAGAAAATGCTCAGATAAAGCCTATACATGACAAGTTCTTATTTGCTCAGAATGGTATAACAGGTCTAATTGCACCACCTGGGTCTGGTAAGACTTTCACTTATCTTAAAATGGCTGCACAACAACAAGAACTAGATGAGAAGAACCCATTCTATGAGTTAGTTGTTATTTGTAGTACCTCTGGTCAATTTGACCAAACCGTCAATTCGTTCAAAGATATTATAAAGAAGTCTAAGTTAGTATGTATAAAAGACTCTGAGTTGTTAGATTGGATAAAGAAGTACCAAAGAAGAGTTTTGAAGTATAATGCTATAAATGAGTATATAAATTCGAAGTTTAAAGACCCAAATGAGGAAATGCAGAGAATATTAGAGAAGAAACACTTCAGAAACAAACAGAAAGAGATAGAATACATTTCGAAGAAATTGCAATCTTACGATTGGAAGACTTACCCTCATAGATGTCTTCTTATCTTAGATGATTTCGCCTCTCATCCTTTGTTAAAGAACAGAGAACAAGACATGTGTCGAATTCTTAAGAAGCTCAGACACTTTAACATTTCAGTCGTAATATGTGTACAGACAGCCAAGAGTTTAAGTAAGGATGTTAAAAGAATACTGACTGACATTATACTTTTCCCCGGATTGTCCGAAGACGATTTCATGGAACTTATGAAAGAGTCCATGGCAGGTAAGTTTGACAGACATGAACTATGGGAGAAGTACAAAGTCATACAAGACCCTCATACTTCTTTCAGAATTCATATCTACGCAAACAAAGTTCAAATTGTAAAAAGTCAATAAAAATAAATGGTTCATCTACCCTACTTGTTTGAAGTTGTCAAAATACTCTGTTATTTTTTCTCTCAGTAGCGGTAAGTCTTCTTTGAAGGTAAGTATTGTACAACCTTTAATATCATAGTGTGTTTGAGGTAACGTATCTTGAACTATTTGTTTCACATCTTCATTTGGGGTCATTGAAATCGGTAAGTTTTCGCGATAGAACCAATTTCTGTCAGATTTGTAAATCTTAGCAAGGTCGTAAAAGCTTTTGTTGTTTCTTCTGACTAAATGCAACATAACCATATCTTTATCTTCTTCATTTTCCATCTCTTCAGTATAAATCATATACTTATAGTTCTTTTCCTTTCCTTTTGGTACCGAACGTGGTATTCTTTTCTGAATGCTTTTGTCTTTTGCGTCAAGCTTGTTTTCCATCTCTTCACGTTCTTGTCTATGAATTTCGTCAAGAAGTCTGTAAATATACCAAGCATAACGAGCTGAAGCCCACATTGCAACAGCATTTACAAGAAGTCTATGTACATAATATCCTCTCAAACCGTTTGGCAATTTTTCACGATTTTCATAGAGTTTTGGCGACTGGGGTTTTTTACCTACTCGCTGTTCTTCACTGTTTTCATAGAGTTTTGGCGACTGAGGTTTTTCTCGTAGTCGCTGTTCTTCACTGTTTTCAGAAAAAAGTATGTCTCGCTGTGCTTCGCTCAAAAGTTCTTGTGTGCTTTGGTTCCTAAACCAGTCTTGTGGTTTCTTATTGTCGGGTGCAAAACATGCTGTCAAAATACTTTGCATTTGGTACATATCGTCTTTGACCGAACGAATGAGACGGAGTTGTTTGTTAAACTGTATGTACTCGTATTCTTCATTTATAGCTTCATGGACTATAACTGTTGTTGTGTTCTCTGTTGTTGACATATCTGTTCTTACATACAAAATAAAAAATAAATAAAAATAAAACTAACTTTATTTTTTCTGTCTTAAGGAAATTCATGATTTTTGTGCTGAATTCAATAAAAATAATGTTTAGGTGAAGCCCACATTGCAACAGCATTTACAAGAAGTCTATGTACATAATATCCTTTCAAACCAGGAGCCAAATTCTTGCGATTTTCGTACGGAATCTCTTCTCTCGGTTTTCCGAGGGAAGCAATCATATGAGGAAATTCATGAAATTTGGTCATTTTTCAGCAAAAATATATTTTAGGTGAAGAGGTGAGATTTCACCTCTTTTTTCACCTGTTTTTTCACCCCAGTTATTTTATAAGCGTTTCACATGGTAAACGTTATTTTTTAAATTTTGTGAAAACTCAACGGTTTGACACAAGCCATATGCCATTTTACTCAGAATTTTGTGCTGAATTCAATAAAAATATATTTTAGGTGAAGAGGTGAGATTTCACCTCTTTTTTCACCTAATTTTTCACCCCAGTTATTTTATAAGCGTTTTACATGAATTGTACGATGTATATTTGAAATCCTAAACAGTTTCGTAGCTTCTATTCCTTCTTTTAGTACATCGAATGTTTTAACAATGCCGAAAGTTTCTTTATACTTCTTCTTGACGTCAGATAGAAGGAAATCGTCAGCAGTTGGATAGTTTTTGTTCAGAAATTCTAACATGTCCATTTTATTTTCTACCGGCTTCTCTGCTTCTTTCTTTAAGTCTGCATAGTCGTTTCTCATTCTTTCTATCTCTTTGACGGAGTAGTTATATCTCCTCATTGCCGCTTTACATTTAGAACATTGCGGGTTCATTTTTGCGTTATATTCTGAAACCTTACCTGCTAAAACAACCAAGGCGTCAATGGTTTTCTTTAAATCTGAAGCAGTTGGTTTTATCTGTTCATTCCATACCTTACCTCTTCTATCTTTATCTCTTATCTGCCATACACATTTTGCAGCTAATGAAACAAAGTTGTCGTATGTCTTAAACTCCCCAGATTTATATATGTCAGAGATGTTCTTATATACCATGTCGCAGTCTTTGTCCATAACTTTATGGTTGCAATGAAAACCAAGGAATTCATAATTTACCTTTCGTATGAACTTCTTTATTTCTACTGAGTCAGTTGCTTTGACTTCAATTTCGTCGAATTCAGGAATAGTTAGTTTTTGCTGTTGGATTTCAGGTAGTTTAGGCAAATGGTCGATGAGGTCCTCCATTTCATAAAGATACTGTTCATTTGTTTCATCTTTCGCACTACAGTCTAAATTACTTGTTAAAAGTTCTTGCTTTATCTTCTGGATTTCTGTTTCGAAAGTATATGAAGAAGGAATGAAGCTTTTCATTTCTACTAACATAGATGTTGGATTCATGACTAACGAGTTTGGTGAAGTTGTTTGAATTGTTGTTGTGCCGATTGTTGACATTACTGTTCTTACATACAAAATAAAAAAATAAATAAAAATAAAACTAACTTTATTTTTTCTATCTTAAGGAAATTCATGAAAATTCAAGAGGGTGAAAAAACAGGTGAAAAAAGAGGTGAAATCTCACCTCTTCACCTAAATGATATTTTTGCTGAATTCAGCAACAAAATGAACGAGGTCAGGATGTATGCAAACACATTTGAATTCATTCATAACACCCCTTGTAAGCTCATAAAATGCTTGTTTTGAGGTCGAGCCACTTTTGGCTCCACCGTATTCTTTCAACCAAAACTCAAGAATTTCCTGCATGAATTTTGTATAAAAAGCAACCGCCGGAATTCAGACTGTTGCTATATTCTTCACAAAATGCCTTATAATACTCTTCCCAGGACTTATTTTCCAACAACTTTCTAAAGTCTTTCCTAAACTGACTGACTGACTGACTGACTGACGGCACAAAGTGGCTTAACGAAAACATTAATATATAAAATTCATGAAAATTCAAGAGGGTGAAAAAACAGGTGAAAAAAGAGGTGAAATCTCACCTCTTCACCTAAATTATATTTTTTGGTCCGGGAACAACTTTCTCTCAATTGGAGCTGTAGCATACTCTTTGCGTAAGCGGTTCAGACCTTCTTCGAAGTCTTGGTCTCTCTTGGACTGAGATTGGAATTGGAATTGTGGGGCAGGGTTTTGCATAAACATCCAAGGGTTGGGGAAGTAAGGCATAGGCTGAGGAGGGTAGTTCGGGAAGCCTTGTGGTGGGTAGTAACCTTGAGGTGGAAATTGGTAGTAATTCGGAGGTACTTGCTGGAACTGAGGTTGCTGAGGAGACTGTTGTGGTTCTTTAGGTTCCTCTGGTTTGGGAATGGACTCGGTTGGTGGGACGTCGGACATTCGTTTGTGTCCTGTCGGACCACAACGATAAAAATCTCTGCTACTAGCAGTACTTTTACTGACAGTAGCAGTACTTTTTCTGACAGTAGCAGTACTTTTTCTGACAGTAGCAGTACTTTTTCTGACAGTAGCAGTACTTTTTCTGACAGTAGCAGTACTTTATCATCGAAAACCCTCTCAAATTTTCCTTTTTACTGACAGTAGCAGTAGTTTTTCTGCTACTAGCAGTACTTTTACTGACAGTAGCAGTACTTTTACTGACAGTAGCAGTACTTTTTCTGACAGTAGCAATGGTCGAGGTCGAACCTACCGACGAGGCAATTTACCTAATTGAAATTAACGAGCTTGTTAAAGACTTCCTCAGGCAGAATGTAAAAGGCAAGCTTGTTAACGGTTGGATAACGGGAAGGGCTGCCTTGAATCTCGAGACTTCGACTGGAATTCCAATTCAAATACCAGACGGGACAGCCTACGACGACATAAAGCAAGCAAAGAAGGAAGCCATTATAAAGTTCTTTGCCAAGCGTCCTTGGATACTACTTCCAAACAGAGAGAACCCTTTCCCAAGAATGAACCAAATTCTCAAGGGTCTCCTTCACTTCTCTGGTCAACCATTCTACATAACTACAGAAGGCGACATTCAGCCAGTTCAGTAAACATCTCATTTTAACTCACTTTTTTATGTTTTTGTGAAAGTGTCAAAAATAAATTGTTTTCATGAGTTTTCTACGATGTTAGAAAAAATGTTATTTTCTAATATCTTCACATTCAATACTTTTTCAGCACTTTTCCGTAGTTATATATGAAAGACAATTCGAGATAAAAGTCATAGTACAATGGAATAATATGTTGCACACCATTTGTTGTGAACCAAACTTGAAAGTCAGAGAAACTGTTACTAGATGGTTCGTAGAATTTAGAAGCAAAGTCATAAAAGTCCTTACCAATACATAGAAAACTATTGTTGCTTGAACTGAAACTTGCATGACACATAACATTTTGAGGGTCAAACACGTTTCTATAAACCATCAAATCTGCTGGTGGAAGTATAAATTTAAATGGACCATCTGGTGGTAATGGTTCGTTCTGGTTTAGTAACCGAAGAAATTGTGCCCAAGAACGTTTGTCTACTTCCCAAAATAAAAACTCTGTATCTCTTGGAGGGTTAATTTCAATCTTTTGAAATGAAACGGTGGAGTTCATCTTGTCATATTCTAGTTTCAGATAGTATGTTCCATTTAGTAAAGAGTTGTATTTTCTTGAAATTCCCAATAATATTTGTTCATTTGAGTTTGAAAGTCATTTAGAGTTTTCTCAAGACTTTCGTCTGAACGAACTGTAAAGATTCTCATTTCGTCAAATTTGTCTATTAGACCATCAGAACCTTTATACTGCCCATGAAAATATACTGCGAACATAAATGCGTTAGTTCTATTTGAAAACAAAACTCTTCTAAATCCTATTGCCTTTGCATCTGAAGGACTTTGAAGCCAACGAATTGGATAGTCAAACCTGTATGCTCGGGATGAAATTTCTTCATCTGAAATAGTCCTACCAGCATTTGTAAAGATATAGTCTAACGGTTTTGTATCTGCTACTTTTGTTCTTTGTTTTTCAACCTGAAGCATTTAATATATGTAAAAATATATTGTTTTAAAATGGTATGCCATTTCATATTTCTCATCTAACAAACAAGTTTCCCAACGGTCTTCTCCAACAAACTCAGGGTACATTTCAAATAAAATTAAAAAAATGTCACTTTTTTAAAAATAAATTTTTACTTCATGCAATGTTTTATTTCTGTGCCGTCTTCAAGTATGCCCCAATATTTCCTTTTCGATATTACATGAACTTCGGAAAATACCTTATCTAGCTTAAAACAGCCCATCTTTTCACCGACCATTCCCATTTCAATGAGTTTGTTGTATCCTTCTTCGTTCGTCATGAGTGCGTCAATGTTCTCATAGTAAACCTTCACTTTGGATTTGACTTCGGAGAAGAATTTGTTGTAGTTGTCAAGTACTGCCTTTGCGAACTGAGGGTAAGACCAATGTTCGACAATAGGTTTTAATGTGGTTACTAAGCCACTTTGACCTCGAGTGAATTCGTACTTCAAAACAAAAGGAGAAAACCTTTCAACAAAGTTGTCGACCTTCTCATAATGTTTACTCTTCATCTCTTGAGGTTTCTTAATGGAATATCCCCATGTCGAATTCATAAGCAATTTGAGTGTCATTGCAAGTTTGGGGTTTGAAGCTTTCCTAATATCATACAGTTGTTGTATGACTTTTCCAACTGTATAGTTCCTTCCCGGGAACTCACCATCTTCGTTTGGAATTCCAGTCGGAATATATTGGACAAACCTCATGTATGCAGCGTTAAGGTCGACATAGTATATCTTTTCATCTGAGTCGAACTTGTCGCAACCAATTGGTCCAGTTTGTGGAAATTCAAGTGAGTCTCTTATCTTCTGAGAAACTTCTCCTGTTATCTCATAAACATCGTCGAAGCAACCTGTTTTCATATAAAACCTTCTGACTAACTCAGATGCTCTCCAATACAATTTGACGTCAATTGGATGTCTCAATGGAAGTTTGTTTATAGCATCTTGAAGTTCTTGCAACCTCATTGGAAGTTCTTCTGGTTCAGGTTGGTATCCGAACATACCAACCCCTTGTGGAATTGTGTACTTCTTTTGTACTAGAACTTTGTCTGGAACAACTTTTGGTCTTGCTAACAATGAAAAGTTTGTTTCGTCTTTTGGTACAAAACTTTCTGTCAGCTTGTCATCTGGAATTGGTTCCAACAAACCTTTCTCGAAAAGAATGTTTACAGCTCTGACAATGTTGCACTTACTTTTACCAAAGAATGGGTTTGTAAGACTTTCGTTCAACATGAAGTGGTTGTGGACAATTACAATCTTCAACCATGGTAAGTCTTTGTCAACAACATAGTCGTCATGTGAAGAACCTTTAGCTGTAGGTATGTTGACTCGGATATTGACATTTGCCAACGGTGCAATTTTTGCCAATTGACCTCTGAGAATGTACCTTGTCTTCACACATGACTCAAGATACTTCATCTTCTCATCTGTAACAAGACCAGAGTTCCTGAGACATGTAAGAATGCAAGGTTCGTTGACAATTGTTTCAATTGAATTGTAAATTCCATACCTTGTCAAGTCAATGTCAGACTTATTTATGAAGGGGAAGTATCCAGCATGTTGTCTGACTGCTTGAGGGTTAGGTTGGTACCATTCGAACTTGACACTTGCAATTCCTTCAATTGCATTCAAAATGTCTGAGTCGGAGTCAACCATTTGTTCTCTCTTTGTAGTCTTGAAAGCGTCAAGAAGTTTTGCGGCTGTTTGTTCATTGCCATGTGCATAGTAAATGTGACCATCCAAATCTGTTATGGTCAATCTGAGATTGTGTCCTTTCTTATTTCCGTCTTGAATTGCAGCAAGTACTCCCATGAAGCCTTCTTTG